ATACAACTATGAAATATAATTTTCAAATATTTTACCCAAAAAATTTAAATATCTATTCACTAAACCCCAAAAGTATGCCATACTACTTCATTAATGGCACAACCATAGATTTTACATTCAAAGTCTTATCCAAAAAGTGTAGCGAATATCCCTCTTACGAAAGCAGTTCGGAAACTTCTTAGCCTAGCACAAAAAGCGCGGAATAAACAGAAAAAAGTTAGGTTTTCTTGTAACTTCCATCTCTGTTATGAACACATGTAAAATTTTGTTTGGATCTGGCAACTCTTTCATATAGAAACAGTTGTTCAAAAAAGATGCATCCGAAATTTTTTTACAATTTACATACAAAAAGGTTTATCGGGACAAAAAATTCAAAATGATATGGTGAATGTGTTAGGTGGAAAAGTGCTCCTTCATATGCAACAGTACAACTTGGTTGCTGAATTTAACCGTGGTCGCACAAGCATTGCAGATGAACCACGTAGTTGGACTCCACAGCAACAACAACATAAATTGTAGCCAAAGTGCATGATACGAGTATGGTATTAAATGTTCGACGAATAAAAGTGCGTGAAATTGCTAATATCATGGGCATCTCAAATGATCGAGTCCATTTAATTTTGCCTGAAGAACTACAGATGAAAAAGCTTTCTGCAAGATCGATGCCGCATTTGTTAACTATTTTGAAGACCTTGAGGGAAACTATTTTAATCAAGGGATAGAATTGCTAGAAAATTGAAAAATAAAAATAGTTTTGAAAAGCTAACTATTCTCCATAGCATAATTACACAAGGTATTCTCATGCAGGTATATAATTCCAATTTTTTCATAATATTACTTTTGACAACATTCCGCTTTCAAAATTTAAATGAAAATAACCTCCTTTGAAATGAACGCACAACAAGTGGTCAATGGCAATAATTACAAAATGTTTAATATTTTGAAGTTCCGGCCTCTATAATCTATAAATAAAAGTTGTAGCATCTGTAGATATCGCTTAAGAACAATGTGAATCAAGAAAATTAGATCTTTATTACATTGTGTTTTATTGACCGCAAGTCCGGATTAAAAAATAAGTATGTCAGAACATAGCATGAATATTTATATGCAATTATGAATAGTCCATGTCCATCCTAAAATACATAAAATCTTTAGAAAATATACATTTTTAATTTTTTAAAAAAATATGCGAAATTTTATAGAATTTATTTTTCAAATTATTTTAAATTGATAGAAAGGATCCAAATTTAAAAGGGTTGCCATTATAATTTCTCAAATGAGACAACCTTCTCTAATGATGCCATGCTATTCTCTTCCATTGATAGGCAAAGAAGTTTCCGAACCACTACTTCTAAAGTTTTCTATACATATTTTTTTAATTCTACTTTATTGATATTCATGAGAAACATGTGCTGAATATAATAAACCAGCTTTGAAAACCGCCCAATAATATTTTCCTAAAATATTTCTCATGGTGAAATTTTTAGCGACGTGTATATTTTTTTGGACACATGTTGTAGTATTTAAACTTTATATGGATCATAAACTTTTCTATGTTTCAGAACTATTCGTCAAAAATATACCAATACGAACATGCACAAAAATTCTTTTTTTTTTTTTGGTTATTTTCATCAGCCTTATTCTGGACATCAATTTGTTCGCTCTTCCCTTTCAAAAATTTTCTGAACCAATCAAATTCGTAAGCGATAAATAAATTATACTGGATTAAAGGGAGTGGCAAAATGTGATGACATTTTGTGCGAGATTTTTCACTAATAAATTTAAAGAGAGCTGACTACAAAAATATAAGCATTAAATATTTTTATAAAAAATATCTCCACATTAGTTATTTATTCTATGCATATTTTTAACTCTAAAACAACAAATAAAATGCCATTGGAAATCCTATTGATAACGATTTATGCTGAAAAAAATATTGCCACGTGATGTGTAGACGCAAAAAGGGAATATTAAAGCCGAGTTTGATGCAATTTATAGGAGAAATAAAGAAATTCTGTTTCACAAATATATATATATATATATATATATATTAAAACCAGATAGCCAAATATGCCGTATGAGCCGCTTACCAATGGGTAAACGCGTCGCATATGGATGCGCAGGTTCTATCTCTTGCTTTCCTTTTCATTGCAGAACTTCGATCATTAAGCTCAAATTCGTAGAGAACCTCCAAATAAAATCATACAATGATATTAGCCCAAACAGTGAAAAACGCAAATAAAAATTATGAAAGAACAAATTTATCATTTGCATGATTTAAAGGACGAAATAAAGGAGGAGGAGCATATCATAAAATAATTGGACACTTTAAGAACTTGGGGGAAATAAAATATCGAAATTAAATAAAAAGGCATACAATTATGTGGTGAATTCGAATTAATTTAATTCATTCGCAGATTTCTTCCCATTATTCGATGTGTTTTTGACATCGTCCAATCCGCTTTTTGGCACCATAAAAAAAAAGTTATTTTATTTGTAATATTGTTGTAGTTGTTGCACAAAATTGCATCAATCAATAAACAGCTGTTTCACATGCCGTTGTATGTTGCCACATATTCAAACTTTAATATATTTTCTTTTAACTACAAAGCAGTTTTATTGTAGATTCTCTTCATTTTAAATTTCTACTGTTACAAGTTTTAAATAACAATAAAAACATGAAAATGTTTGTTAGAAAAATTATTAAATAAAATATTGAAAATTATTATAAAATTAGATTACACATTATATATTAAATTACAATGTGGCAACACAAATAATTTTTTGAACCACCATTATCGAAAATTCGAAACGGCAGTTCCTGTTTTTTGATCTTTCCTGTTTATTCAGAATGAAGGGAACCAGCGAAAATGAAAATTTTTTCGCATGTGAAATCATTTCCTTGCGAATATCCAGAATAAGTCTGTATATAAAAGTTCGTCACATTCCACTGATCTTCGATATAAATGTATTGCTGCTATGTTCAGTTCTTCTTGATAAAAATATATTTGTTAAAAAATAAATTAAACGTGCATTTTTTTTAAACATGCACATTAATTCACTAGAAAGGTAACCTGGACCTTTTGATATAAATAATGTTTATAAATTACGTATGAATAAAATGTTTAATTTCAATGAAAATCGTTTTTCCTGAGAAATGATAAATTATTATAGTTAATGAAACATTTTCTAGTAAACATATCACAAGACAAATATTTTCATGCATATATGAGAATCTATTCATTAAAGCTTTAAATTAAACAGTTTTATACTCCAAGTTTAAAAGAAATATTAAACTACTAGCAAGGTACTATTTATTTATTAGTAAATCCATTCAGTAACCTTATAAATATTTAAATTTATGAAAAATGCAAGTAGAATTTAAAAATAAGTACGTAGTCAAGTCTAAACTTTACGATATAAAATTATAAAAGTATTGTACATACCTCAAGGTAAACCATTTATATTTAAGATAACTATAGAGAGGCTGGAATGGCGGGATGTAAAACAAATTAAAAAATTGAAATTTTTATACCTTAAAGGGCTGGGCTACCCTGAGAAACTGGATACATAACAACATCCTAAGCACTTTCAAAAAAGTTGATAATCGGGGTAAAATGCCTTTAAATATTTCTACATGAAAACGTTTGTGAATTACACCAAAACATCTATTCAAAATCAAAAATTTACACAGTTTTCGAACAAACCTTCCTAAAACAGTGTATTTTGAGATCGACAATAATAATACAAAAATTACTTTTTAATGTTCTATATTATCTCCAATTTTACATGTATTGAACACATTGCAAAAACATAAAATAACTCGGAAATATATCAATGTCTGACAGTGCCAAATTTAGTTTTAAGACCCTTGCTAGAGAGATATACGAATATGAAGTGTTTCACTTTATTTAAGCCTTCAAAGGACTGCTTCACATCTAACACAAATGTACGCACCGTTTACAAAATAAAATGTAATAGAAAATAAATAACTGATCACTTGGTTTTAATATTATGCGTTTTTTCACTTTATTAATATCATTTATATTTTATTTTCTTTTTAATAATTATTATCATATAATATAAATTAAAGCAAAATTTGTTAAAATTAAGAAAAATTACAATATTTTCCAAGAAATTATTGTCTAACTTGCATAAAAAATGTTAAATGTACTTTTTGTTGTTGGTTGTTGTTTAAATTAAATACAAATACGTAATACAATGTAAAAGTTACAAAATAACAAAAAATATATACGTGGATGTGTAATTATTCTTATTTAACATTAAAACAAAGACAGAAAGAAAAATATCTGGGATGCTATCAAAATTATAGCAACAACATCTTGATCTCACATTACAAGAAAAATATATATCGAAATTTCATGAATTTCTTAACAACATTTATAAATTAAAAGAAAGTGGCGGAAATATATAAGAGAATTTTCGAGAGAAAGATACAGGAAGGAAAGAAATGCAAATACATACGAAATAAAATAATACACAACAAGAAATTGTGAAAGCTCTGTTTCAGTTTCTTTTGTTTGTTTTTGTTTTTTTTTTCATTTTTTTGATTTCTAAGTTATACAAATTTTTGTTTTCAATATCACAATGAAGCAATGCAAAAAACAATGAATACACATTTGAATGAAACAATGCACAAATGAAAACTTAAAATAATAAATCTAAAATGTTATTATTTCTTACTTTTCGGAAATATACTAGACAAGGTTTTTTTGAGGAAGGGAAATACATATAGGCAACAAATCAAAATACTCTACTCTATAACAGCAAACAAAAAATGGGAATTAGCCAAAATAATTAAACAATAACACATAACAATGAATTGAATTACGAAGGAAGGGATTTATTTTGTTGTTGTTTGTTTCAAAACAAACAATTTTATGTCTATGAGGTGTTTCTGGAAGAGGTCATGGTGTTTACTTAGCGGGACAGTTAGTAGTAATAAAATAGTACGTTTCTTTTGTGGGAAAGCGGGAACGGGGAACAAAAATTACAAAACGAAGTAATCAATGAATGATTCAAAACTTTAATTGTCATGTTTTACGTGGCGGTGTTGGAGGAGGCGCCGCATAATGATGCCTCATCATGTCTTTGGGAATGTTTTCGTAGGCTGAAAAATGACGGGAGTAAACAATTTGAGCAAACCGGGCCGTGACGAGACCTGCTTACCTGTTCCCGCCGCATGTCCACTACTCGACGACGATGTGATTGATGATGAGGACGTTTGATGATGCTGCAACTGTTGCGGTTGTTGTTGTGGTGTATGAGGATGATGGGTTGGATGATGTTGTTCGTTGTGTTTTGGTGTTGTTGCTTGAAATACATCGTTGCTGTAGATTTGTTGTTGCTGTTGTGGTTGTGTGACCGTGGCCTGTGTAAATTTATGACGGCTGCTTGGTGTTGTTGGCGATGCCAATGGCATTTTATTAAAAGCTGATTTCGATGCTTGAATATTGTCAGCATTAGCGATGCTATTGCTGGACGAGCTAATCTGTTGCTGTTGTTGTTTACTTGCTAAACTTAAATTAGGTGGTAAAGGAGATCTTTGTGTATCGTTGCCAATTTCACCAGTATATCTGTAATGAAAATACAAAAACGAAAATATATTATAATTACATCGCCAATAACAAAGTGTGTAAATTTTGTTAACACTTACTTTATATTTGTATATTCACGACCAACTTGTATGCTTTGCTCTTCGGCCCGTTTACGCTGTATTAGTGTTTGTATGTAATGCTGTACAGCATAATAAACGAATTTATATTGTGCCTCGGTTTGTACTAGACCAGAACGTTGGGATCGTACCATTTGTATTGTGCGTTGTATATCGATTTCGGTATCTAAACCTAAAAGAAAACAAAATATGAAATAGAGAATTAAAATTTGTGAGGGGCTAAGGAAAATAAAAAATATAAGGCATGGAAAGTTTTAAAAGGCAAAATGTTTTAAATTTAAGAATTTAAGTTTTTGAGAAAGAAGTACTATTCTGCAACTCTCACCCTTAAAAAAATTAAAAGTTCTTTGTTTCCAGGCGCTTCAACTCACATGAGGTTAATATAGAAACCAGTAAAGAACGTAGTAGGGCTGGGTGGACTATATGATACCCTTCACCACTTTGGTATATTCTACATATGTTCGAGGGAACATTGACTTGAAATTGAACGAATTTAAATATGTGATCTTTATCTATAAGTGAACATCAATCCATACACATGCCTTTCTGCAACCTATGCTACATTTCATTTCATTCGGGCAGATTTATAGCAAACATGATACACGCTATTCGGTATGCCACACTGTTCAAAATTTAATCTCAATCAGACAGTCGTTCGAAATACATATGGAAGCTATGTCTGTCTAATTAAAAAAACAATAATGTCAATCTAGTCTCCATTTTATACGTTGTGCAAAATTTCGTGTCAATCGAAAGATATATGGGACTTTCGTACACCATTTACATTAAATCGGACGAAAATATATATGGGAGTTATATCTAAATCTGAACCGATTTTCACTAAACTTAACGCTCATCATTCTAGACTTAATTCAGTACGCTATGCCAAATTTCGTGCAAATCGATAGATATATAGGGACTGTGGTACACAATTTACATTAATTCGGACGAAAATATATATGGGGGCCAAATAAATGAGCTGTGCAAAATTTCATCCAATTCGGATCATAGATGCGACAGTACCCGACTAAATCGACGCAGAAAGTGATTCGATGTATATTCTCAAAAGGAATCATGTGTCTAACTCGTTTCCTGTTGCCTGTAACAAATATATGCACAAATACAGTGTGGTGAAGGGTATGAAAATATCTACGAAATTCATACAAAACAATTCCTTTTCTTTCTTTATTCTCTTGTGGGATACTCAGGACAAACACAATAGACCACAAGTCTCTGTGGCACATGCTGACATATTCGAACAGTCGCTCATCTTTTAACCTAACTTTTCGATCTTATATATACATATTTTCTTCAAGTAAAATAGCTTTAACGAGTACAAGTCCCTTTGTATTAAAGATTATATATTAGTTTTCTATACCTTATAAGGTCTCCCATATAAATGTGCTTCAATTTTTTAAAGGTTTTCTTTATCTTCTTAAGCAATATTATATATTTACCTTCAGTACAATGTTCGATTTATATGGTTGTTTTCAAGCGCCTGAAAGTATGCTCTAGTTTATTATAATCACTTACGTCTCATTTACATACGTGACTCATTTGTTGTGCTTTATTTGAGGATCATAGAACGATATTTCTTGAAAACAGATTGGCGGTGAAAGTTTTGTATTTTAAGAGGACCTCTCTTAAATAATTTGTATATGACCAAATGGAAATCGGTCAATTAAATGATGCTGTATATAAAACCTTTCCTATTGAAAACAATAATTTATATTTTAGATTTTACTTTAAAACGAATGGAACTAATGACAAATTTTAATGCCCAAATGAAACTTATTTGTATTATGTCTTTTGCCTTTTTATATAATACTATTAAAAATTATAATTTTAACTTACCATTCCTATCGATCTGATCCAAAATCATATCTATCACTATAAATGTACCGGTGCGGCCAATACCCGCTGAACAATGTACACAAATAGGACCCTATAGAAAAATAATATACAAATTAATTAACAATTCATTAAGAATTAAAAAAGTATATTTTTAACTTACCGGTTTATCACCAGCCTGTGTCAATTGCCCCTGCTTTGTGTTGACATCTTGCAAAAAATTCAACACACAACCCGGATCGGCGGGTACACCATGATCGGGCCACACCTGAAAATGATAATGAAAGATACGCCTCTCTGGCTGATCACGCCATGAAAACAGGAATTCCCGCAATGTGTAATCATTGGTGGAATTCTCGGAGACACATTGAATTTTGGCCGGACCAAATTGTTTCGTCTGTCCCTCATCTGGCCAATATTTGGCACATTTATTTTTGCCACGTTCAAATTCTTTGGTTGTCATCACAATGACACGGGTATTCTCCTGCCATATCATATTCCAGAAATCGGTAATGGTATTGGCCAAACAACCCTGGGTAGCAATGTAGGTTTTGAACATTTCACGTTCGGTTAAATCATTGCTATTCTTTTTGTTGAGTGGACGTGAAAGAGCAATACCACCACCAGCACCGCCGTTGGATCCCGAAGCTCCTGCACGTTGTTGTTGCTGTGATTGTTGTGGTTGACTTAAACCATTACAATTACCCATTAATGCATTATTTGTCAGCGATTCACTGCGTTTGTGCTTATTCAAATTATCAGTTTTCTTGTTGCACGTAACACAATTGCTGTAGGGCAATGTGGCAGTTTTCACCGCACACTGTACGCAGGTTTTGTTTAACAACTGGCAGTTGGGACAATTCTTCTGAATTTGGGCAGCTGTACAGGCTGGACACGAGGAGACCATGGCGTTTAAACTTTCCTGGGAAGCATTCATGTTGTTCTGTTCACCATCGGTGGGTAAGCGTATATAATTGGCATTGATATATTCAGCGCCGGATATGCTATGATCGACATCGTTTAATTTGACACGAGTGTGATCATCTATGGGAGGAAGAAAGAAAATACAAACAAGGGGTTAATGGAAGTTTTTTAAAAGGAAATAAAATTAAGATTGAATTTGAAATAATTAAATATATTTTAGAGCATATTTAATTGAAATTATGAGTTTACTTACATGGTAATATATTTCTGTAACGATTTTTATTGCGATTCTCCAGTTTATAGCCTTCATTGCGTGAGAAAATGTCACGACTGTCCTGTTGCAAAGCTTCAAATTCCTCCCAGAAGCCTCCCTGTTTTGGAAAAAAAATAAAAACAAATTATTAGTAAGGTAAAGACAATTATCGGGATATATCGTATTTAAAACCTAGAACCAACAAAAATATTGTCATATAGTTTTAAAGCCGTAATCACAACAAAAACGTGGTGATTAAAAGTTCAAAGTTTCTAAAATAGACTTGGCCCCTATTTTTCGCAACGTTTTATTTTAATGACAATATTATATACTTCTAATTATATACAAATATATATATATATATATATATATATACACATATGCCTAAAAGGCATACAATGCATTTCAGTAATTGCAAAATTAATACGTCGTTTTTCTTTTCAAGTCTACAAACCATAAAAAAATCTTGACGACATAAATAAATGTCGATATGTAATGACTGCTTAGCTGACTGGCTGGCTGTTTGCCGTAAAAGGTTAAGACTACTCTACAATAATCAAGCTTGGTTAACGCTGCCATAATGACACTTTGACTGACTGACAAAGCTTGAAAATCTCTAACAAAAACAAACAATAGCAAAAATGGACTCAAATGGACGACAACTATACATCAAAGTGGGCAAATGTGTTTTTGAAAAACAAACCAAACAAAACAATCAAACATTATTTAATAGAATTAAACAAACAATGGATGTCAAATATGAATTTACTATCCCCTCCACCCCTCTTGAAAACCCCTTTTCGCCAGAGTGTTAGATTATTTAGACATTTTATATTTCTCCCTCTCAGCCTTTGAAAATGTACACCAAGAATCACTCAACAAAACCCTATGGGAACTGTCACTTTGTGGTAACCTTCCTGTCAACCTGTGCCTGCTCATTATTATGTCGTGTTCTATTTTGACAGCTTGCCGACAACTTCACTTACCTTAACCAATTGTTCTACACGAGCATTGATGCCAGCTGCAGTGATGCGTGTAGCATTAAATGGCTGTCGCAAATGGACAACCGTACCGCACGTCTCAACCATTGGATTGCGTTTGTAGTGTTCAATTAATTCTGATAATGTATTGAATGGTTCACCACCGCCAACATCGTATTTGTTGTCCTGTAAAACAAAAAGTAAAGGAAAATTAAAATGGTATTCAAGAGGATAAGAGTTTTAATTAATTAATATGGAAAAATGGTGATATGGAGAAAGTGATTAAGAAAAGTAGATTGTAGAGTACAATGAAATGTTTTCTTATTTTTAATCCACGAAAGAAAAATATTTTGAGAATGTACCGCAAACTACAGACCGAGTATAATTAAAAAGTCCTCTAGTTTTACTTTAAATGTCATTGAAAAATATAATAATTTATTGGAAACATTTACTGATATTTCTTACACTGTTCGACTTACTGGAGTATGATTATTGAGCACACTAATACGCCACCTATTTCCAATTAATTTTATATGGAATATTGCGGATCATGTTAAAATTATTACAACATTTTAAAAGGATTTAATTGAACTCTAAAATTTTCATTTAAAAAAATGTTTTTGGTCCATTAAATGGTGAATTGTGCCCTAATTTATTAAAAACCTTTACTGATATTTTTTACACTGTTCGCATTGCTGGCGTATGATTATTGAGCACACTAATACGCCACCTACTTCCAATTAATTTTATATTGAATAATGCGAGACAATGCTAAATTTAGTATGACATTTTAAAAAGGTTAAATTTAACTCTATAATTTTTATTTTACAGTAAAGTGTATTACTATATCCTAGCTGGTCCATCCACTGGTAAAATAATGCCCAAATATTTAAAAAAAAATTTTTAAATTTTGAAATTTTCTTTTCCCATATTTTCATTTAAAATATAAGGAAATAACATTATTCATAATCCAAATTTGTGCCTTTAAATTAGATCTAAAATGCTTTAAGTTACAAACGAAATTATTCAAATTCAAGCTGAAATTTCAATGGCTTATGTAATTCATTTTTATTAACTAATTTTAACAACTTTTGGCCAAGGTTTATAGAAAATGGCATAATTTTAATTCTCATCATCATTATTTTTCAATAGTCTTATATTAGGCTTTCAATATTAAGACATACATGTGATAATATAAAACTAAGTTCCCAAAATTTAAATATATCAAGAACAAACTGATTTTTATCCAAAAATTTTATAAGTTCTTAAAATACTTCGAGAAAAAGGGAAGACAATATTCAGTATATTTCTTGCAGTGCCGTATGATTATTGACAACCTGTATACGCCGCCTTTGAATTATTAACACGTTGAAAATAATTAATAGGAATAATATTGGAAATATTTATCAAAAATATGAATTTTGGAATTCAACTTTAATAAATTCTAACAATTTAAATATACGGGATATTTGTCCTCCAAAATTATTTTTTTTTACTTTTTTACCAAATATTTAGCATTTAGCATTTGAAATTGTGATTATTATTTTTATTTGCAATAATTTACACCACGTGTTATTAATTTAATTTTCGTTTCCTATATTTTTTTTTTATTTAAAAAATAAAAATAAATCTGGTTTTCTCAAATGTTCGTCAAAAAATCTCAGTACGCATTGGTGTATTATTATTGATATTAATTATACGCCACTTCCAACATCATTTTGTTTTTCCCTTTAGCTTTTTATTTACCTAGCTTCTTTATATACCGAATAAAGTCATGAAAGACCCAAAAAAAAAACTCTTATCTTGCTTAATGGCTCTACTTGAATACAGCAAGAATGTAGCAAGTATACGCCGATAAAATTGTTAAAATTAAATTGAAATTTAAAATTGCTGTTGTTCCTTACAGCCTTTAGGTTTTATATGTAAAAAAATAAAAAAAATATTATAAATTCTATTCAAATTCAATGCTGAAAGCATTTTCGCAATAGGTTAACTATGTAAGTCACAATAATAAGTTAGTAAAATTACAATTGTGAACCTTACATCGTATAAACATTGCTGCCAACATGTCGTATTAGTGCGGACAATAATTATACGCCACCTATCAAAATTAATTTCTTGGCGAAAAAATTGAAAATTCCTTTTAAATAATTGTATTAAAACAATTTATTTTTTAATTTATATCGTGAGTTCTAGTTGAGAATACTGCAAATTTCTTGAAACCAAAATAATAATACAGACCTATATAAAATGCAAAAGTTATATCAAATATTGTTTAAATGTTTACTCGGAGAGAATATTATGTTTTCAAACATATGAGTTCACGTTACTTTTGATTCTTTTAAGAGCCTATGCTCATTGGTCCCACCATGGCGTATTAGTATGTACAACAATTATACCCCACCTCTAAAAATTTATTTTCCAAGGGAATTCAAAATCAAAATTTCTATTGAATAACTGCATTAAAAAAATTAATTTCCTGGCGAAAAAACAAATCTCAAATTACTATTAAATAATTGTATTAATAAAATTTACCTATTATTGATTTACTTATAAATATTGGAAATCACAGTGATTGGAAATACAGACCTATGTATATAAAATGTTATAGTTATATCAAATAATTTTTTAAATGTCTATTCTGAGTAAATATTTTGGTTTTGAAAAACATTAGTCAACGCTAGTTTTGATTCTTTTAAGATTGTATGACCATGATGCCACCATGGCGTATTAGTGTGGACAATAATTATACGCCCTCTCTAAAAATTAATTTTCGAATGGTGGGGTTAATAATATTGATATTTTGTTGATTTAAATAGAAGAGAAAAAGATAAAGTAGCTCAGACTATAATAAATCGTATTTAAAAATTGTAATCAATGCTTAAGAGCACTTCATATATAAAATACCTCCATCTATTATATTTCAACATTTTTTCTTTAAACCGCATTTTGAATTTCCTGCACAAGAAAATTGCGTGAGAATACATCAAAGAGGAAAAGAAAAAATAATGAAATCATTATTATACTACAAACTTTTCTACATTGACCTTAATTTATTTTATTGATTTTCTTTCCTTAGAACAATTCTTTCTACTATATATTAAAAGACTAGAACATTTTTAATACTTTTCCGTAGCCATAGAAATTTCTTTCCTTAGAGACTTACAAAAAGAAAAAAAATATTGATAATTTATTGACACTTTTTATAGATTTGTTTTCAACAACAAAAATTTACACACAATCAGTAAATAAAAAAACATTAAAGCTCAGTTCGAACTTAAACAGAATTAATAAATTTCTTTTTTTTGTTGTTGTTTGTTTGTCTCATTCCAGTAATAATTGCAAAAAAAAAAGCCAAAAACAAATTAATTACTCTCACCCAAACTAAGCTGCTATTGTCATTTGCTAGGTTTTTATTTAAGTATGGCTAGTTGTAGCGAGGAAAAAAATTGAAATTGAACTCGAAAATTGTTTGGTGGCTGTCTGTCTGTCCGCTTGTTTGTCCGTCCGCCTGTTCGTCTGTGTGTCTACAAAGGTAGGTAGTTAGGTGTGAGCGAGTGTGTGCACAAAACTTAGCGCAAATTGAAAATTAGTTGGATGCAATCATGTACATACATCGATATAGTTTTTTGTTATTTTCGTTCGAATGTATATATGTGAGTATGTGCATGTGTGTGTATGTGTGTGCATTTATATTTTGTGCCTGTTGTTGGATTTTTTCCGTTCAAGGTCATAAATAATAAGGAAAAACTTTACAATGTGTTTTAGTTGAACTTGAAATTTTGCTAAGCTGAAATTGTTGTTTTTGTTTCTGTTGTCGTTGTTATTGTTTCTGGGGGATATTTTTAACACATTTAAACTTCCACGAAAAAACTATAATCCACAAAAAAATATTGCAATTTTTTTGTAGTATACTCGTATTTGTTTTACTTTGTTGTTAATACCAATTAGTTTGCTGATTTTTTTGATGATTTAAACGATTTGGATTTTTTGTATTACAATGGAATAGAAATAAGAAAAAAATTAAGCCTTGTTTTACATACCTGCCAACGTATCATGACATGTGTAACTTTATCGTCGGTTCTTACAGATAAAACAAAATCGCCTGGTTTCGATTGGGATTCACGGACCAGAAATGAACCATTCTTTCCACGCTCCAATAACAATTTTTCACCTTCTTTACCAGAAAGATTGCCATGAAACCATCTGCAAGGATAGACAAAAACAAAAAACAAAATTAATAAATTATCAATCAAATAAAAATCAACAAAATTTTAAATATTTATATGCCATAAAGTAAAAACGTACATTCTACAAATAATTCCAAAAATCCTTCTCCTCTCAGACAACAGCTTTTCTTCGCCCCGAAACGTTTTGTGTTTTTTTTTCGTTCTTTGTTTGCAAATAATTCTCAAGTCCTTTGCATTGGCTTAACAATTGCGTACTAATTGTTTGTTTTCAAAACACTGACATTCCCCCTAAATATGACACAATTTGCCAAAAGCTCTTCGCAAAATGACTTTCAAACTGTAGACATTCGCAATTTTGCTGTTCTCAATTTTTATACTCATTGATTTGTTGGTGGTGTTCTTGCCTCGCAAAAGCAGTTAAGTCAGAACATCTGTTTTATAATAAAAGCTTTGCTTTAATTTTGTTTGTCTGTGAGAAAGAACGTTATTCTCTCTCATTTTCGCTCTCAGTATAGAAATCACCTGTTGCTCTTTAAGCACGTGTATTTCAAACTCTTTCTCTATTCTCTACAGTAAATGTGAAATATAAACATGAGTGTGTAGTGGTGTTATTGATAAATAAATATGCAAATATCAATAATAGGTTATTTCACGTTAAGATGACATGGAAGAAATAAGAAAATTTCCATTACACGGGTGAGGGTGAGAGGTGGGCAAATAATGGTTATAAATATACTTCACTTTGTTTTATATAAAAATAAGACTATATTCAGCTCTAAGACAGAAATTTTTAAATTTTTGTACATAATTTTAAAATTTTTGTATTTCAAAGACATTATAACATCTTAAAGATTTTTGAAGTAAAATCTCCTCAGACATTCTAAACATTCGGTATTTTTGTTTTAATTAATCTCGTATAAGCCCTGCCATTTCCATTATGCCAATTTTTACAAATTTATTTAATAATTTGTAGTCTATTTTTAATATTTGTTTAAAGAAGAATGACACTGCAAATGTTCCTCTATATGTATTATAGACCCCAGGGGCGTATTAGTATTGTCAACACTTATACGCCAACATCAATCATTTGTTGGATTTATTACATTTGGCTAAAAATAATCAAGTTTAAAACCTATAATAAAGTTTACTGAAGTGCATTTTATATAGAAAATCTTTAAATTTTTATGGACAATACATACTACGTTGCATATATTCTGTAGACTTTATCCCCTTTTTCAAGAAAGTTGGGATTTTTTTGAATAAATCTCATATAAGACCGGTAATTTTTTCTTTAAGGCAATTTTTTACAAATTTATTTAATTTTTTTCGGAACATAAAAAAATATGGAAGAACAACACTACAAATTGTTTCTATATCGATGACAGATATCTATGGCGTATTAGTATTGAGAACACTTATACGCCACCATCAATCATATTTTGGTTTTATTATATTTTAATATTTTTAATAACGAAAGTAACGTTTACTGAGGTTTATTTTGTATAGAAAGTCAATTAATTTTTCGTTCAGATAAATTATGAAATATGATTTCAATAAATATAATAAAATCAATTTAAAATTCTATAAAAAAAAATCGCAAGTAATGTTTACTAAGGAGCATTTATGTAGAAACCCAATTTTAATATAATTTTCTAATTTAATTTTTAATACCGTTTGCGAGGTATTCTAGGAGAATATAGGAAATAGGAACATTTACTATACAAAATGTGGCAATAAGTTATTATCACACTAGTTCTTGGAAAACATTACATATCGTGATTATTTTTAAATTGAAAACATGTGAACGTGAAATTTTCTAACAATTGGAGTACCTAAGCGTATTAGTGTGGACAGTAATTATACGCCACCTTATACTGATAAATTGTTCGTTCATTTAAATTATGAAATATAATTTCAATAAATATAAAAAAAATTCAAAATTTATAATCACAAAAGTAAAAGGTTTACTGAAGTGCAATTTATATAGAAAATTTAAATATTTTTTTAATAATTAAATTTTCAATACCGTCAGCTGGAAATAATTTCGTAGTAAGGAACTGGTACTATATAAAATGTGGAAATAAATTATTATCACACTCGCGATTATTTTAAAGGTGGAAACTGTGAACGTTAAATTTTCTAAAAATTAGAGTACATATAAGGTATAATCATACGCCACTTTATACTAATCAGTTTTTCGTTCAATTAAATTAGGAAATATCATATCATTTTAAAACTTAAATATTATATTAATAAATTTATATTTGTGAATAAAATTTCGTTTTGACATGAACATTAAGTATTCTTAATAGACATTGGAATTTTTGGTGTTCTTTCATCGTAGTATCGATGGCGTATAAGTGCTGTCAACAGTTATACGTCCCCAAAATTAAAATTATCGTTAATTTTGTTAAATTAAGGTATATAATTTAAATGAACTAAAATTAATTACATATTTGAATACCACATGTCTGAATTTTTGAAAAAAAATAAACAAATATCGTCGGAATTACACGTAATGTTTCTTTCTCGCAAACATTACAAGTGGTGATTAATATTCTTGATAGAATATTAGATTTTCTAATGTCCGGGCTATCCATGGCGTATTGGTACTGTCAACAATTATACGCCACCCTCCAATCATATTTTTTTTTTATGAAAATTGCTAAAATGAAGTATTTTATTATTTAATTTCAAATATCGGTCATAGGTCTTTGTTGTTAGATCTGACCGAATTTTGGAAGAAATTGATAATATATAAAATGGAAAGCTAAGAATATATTAAATGTTATAGTACTGCTATTTTCGGTTACGTTACAAGGTGATTATATAATTTTTTTACAAAATATAAGAAAGTATAGAAGGCGTATTAGTGATGTCAACAATTATACGCCAACTTACACTAATTATTTGTTTTGTTCAATAAAACTTTGAAATAGGAGTTCAAAATTCAATATTTTCAACTTTCGAAAAACATGTAAAATAAAGTATTTTATTATTTAATTTCAAATATTGGACATTAGGTCTTTGTTGTTGAACCTTCCGAATTTTGGAAGAAGCTGATAGTATATAAAGTGGAAAACTGAAAGCTCAGTCACTTTCATACTATTTTTCGGATCCATTACAAATAGTAATTATATTTTTTTATAAAATATGTGATTTTTACTTATAGAAGTATCCAAGGCGTATTAGTGCTATTAACAATTATACGCCACATTTTAATGATACATTTTTAGTATAAGATTGATATTAATAAAACTGTTTATAAGCAAAATTTTTTTTATTTATTTGAATTTTGCCTGTAATGGCGACGATCATTTAGTGCTATTAACAATGATTTTGAAAGAAAATTTTAATAATTTTTTTCTTTATTTAATTTATGATGCCGTATTAGGGCGATGACTTGAATGATTTTGCAAAATAAATAAACTATTTCCTTATTATTCCTTTTGGTAAGGTCTTAGAAGTGTGATCGATTTCCTAGCAGTTTTTGTAAAAACTACAAATGTTAATTATTTTTAAAAGGTAAGAAAATATTTTATAACAATTACGGTATCCGTGGCGTTTTAGTGTTGACGATAATTATACGCCACCACATTTAAATACAAAATTGGGTAATTAGACAAATGCCTTTTCCAGGTCTTCAAAAGATTGCAGACCTTTTTAATATCTTCTAAAGACAATTGACTATGGACTACAGATAGGAGATCTACTATGGAACAAATATAAGACTTCTTTAGGTCCGGTTTGTTATGTTTAGACTATTTTTTCAGGTCTCCTATAGACAGAGTGATTTTTACCTTAGAAATTTTCTTAATTTTTTCTTTAAATTAAAAATGAAACTCAAAATGTTGTGTTTATGTGTTGTAGTGGAATTTTTTGTATTATCACTAAATGAAAAATCTTGACGCATATTGTGAATGAAATGTGTATTTAACAAATAACTTGGAGACATCTACCAAAGATAAAATATTTTATATATAAAAAAATAAAATGTACATAAGCTTATCAGTATGGAATTTAGTACACAATTACTAGGCATACTTTTTGTTATAATAAAATTTCATAATATAATTTTAAAATAACATAAACAACCTGTAGTTTTTTTAAATGATGTCAATCAGGGTATATGCTTTTTAATGGCTTACATGGTTCTTGTTTTTTTTTAGTTTTTTGTTTTTTGCTGTATTCTGAGGTGTGAAGTGATTAGAGTGCAATTTCTAGTAGTTCATGTTATGGTTACTTTGTAGAACAGCAACATGTTCCCTTTGTTAGTTCCGCATCTAACAACAAATTGTCACAGTTATAGTTTACAATTTTTTTCTCCTCCGCCAAACAACTTGGCAATAAACTCTAAATCTGGCTTTCTATTTTAAACCAGTTACATTTAAATTAATGCCATGGGGGATTTTTAAAACGTTTTGTTGTTTTTTGTTTGTTTTGATTTCGTTCAAAGTTTATAGGATATTTGAAAAAAGTTTCCGGCAAAAGGGTAAATAAATCACAAAGTAATAGTAGCGCAGCAGTGGCGGTAATACAGCTGTATTAGCCAACAACTAGAAGTTTTGAGTGTTATTTATAGATTTCGATTATAAAAATGTTGGAAACTGGTCTGGGTCTTTAACTTTTTTTATTGTAGATTTAATCTATATTGTTGTTTAATTCTTTTTTTCAAATTAAAACTAAAAGTAGTTTTGAAAAAAAACTTACTTCCACATATTAAAAAAAAAAATCCCATAATAAAATGTTTTAAAATGCCAAGAAAGTTGTAAAACTTGTTGTTGTTGTTTTTGTTTGCTGTAAGCTTCTTAGTGAAGATTAAAAATATGCAATTCATTTTATTTGAAGTTACTTAGAGTTGTTGTAAGTGTTTTATGAATTATTTATGTATGTACATCTTGGCTATTTTTTTTGCATGTAATTTGAATATATCAATTTATTAAATGTTTAACAATTTTTTTAAAAGACAGCTGGACTGATATTTAAATAAATTATTTAATATTGTTAGCTATTTTT